TGGAGGCCATCGCTACAAGGTTGGAGGCCATCGCTACTAGGCTGGAGGCCATCGCTACTAGGTTGGAGGCCATCGCTATTAGGTTGGAGGCCATTGCAACTAGGTAGGAGGCCATCGCTACTAGGTTGGAGGCATCACAAATTGCAGCTTTTGGACCCAAGCCTGTAGCAAGCACACAGTGGTCGCGACACATCTTGGCTAGCATGCCGCTTTCTACCGAGATGTGCGGGGTCCTTTTGATGATTGCCAGCGGCATATTTGTCACCGGTGATATGGTGGCCAGCAAGCTCATTGAGAACTCAGGATGGCCATATTGGTATCTCATTTCTGGGGTTTGTTTGGTTGCTACAGGCAGGGACCCTTGCATTGACATCAAAAGCTCTATGAAACAATACCACACCTACCTAGTTGCAGTATGTCACAGTCACGTATGCATTTTTATACTGATATACATTCTACATGAAACATCATGCAACATATTGACGTTTAGTTATTTGTCATGAAAACACATTGGTTGAATTCGTTTAGATGTTTTGTTCTTTTGCCGAAGTGAGAAAGGATGAGAAAAGTGAAAACCACCAAAAACACTGAGAGGGGTCAATGGGGCGATGTTGCGTGCCCTTGGCGTTGCTTGGCCCAAGCTGGAAGAGCTGAAGCTTGGTCTACTCAGATCGTTGTTGAGCTTTACTCATTTCTACTAGTAGCAAAGGGCATCTCTACCAGGAGCAAGGATGCTACTAGTAGCTCCTGGCCATACTACTAGTAACAAGAAGCTACTAGTAACAAAGAGCATCGCTCGTTCTTCTTGTGCGCGGCTTACCATGCTTGGGATCTATACTTAGGCTTCTATGTCTTACTATCTCGGTCGCTTACTTTTTCTGTTGTAGGGGTATGTAAGGGTCTTTGCTGTCGAGGTCTTACCATTGGGAACGGCAAAATAGAAAGCCTGTCAACAAGAAGTGGACTGTTTGGTTCAAGCTGTTCGGGCCTATTGGACTTGGAACTAACTTCGAGGTTCAAAAGATTTGAATCCTTGGCCAACAAGGAAGTGGGTGGTGTCTCGGTCGTTTCTCCAATCTTTACAATGGCATTCTATGGTCCTTGCAGTGCTGGTGGGCGCGTCCCCCGGGGACGTTGCAGCTTTGAGCAGTCTCCTGGATGTCAATAGGAAGGATTGTGGAGTGTTGTGATCGAATAGTGTTCACAAGGTCATAGAGTCATAAGCCAGGGCCAATCAAATTGTTGCACCCCTTTGTATGCATGCAAGTCAAAGTGTATGTGCAGATGCGCAAATTCTGAGTTTAATCAGCACATATAAAGTTGCGATTAGTGGAGTGATCCAAAAAATCTAGAAAGCAAAGCGTGTCTCATACTTTTATCAGTCAAAGTAGTTGCACTGACGGTGCAGGCGTCGACATAATCGCTGCTGCGCTTTTGGGCCTAGTCTTTCTGGGTGAAAAGCTGAGCCTCTTGCATTTCTTTGCTCTTGTAATATCTGCTGTGGGTGCGATATTTATCTCCAAGCCTGAGTTCATCTTTGGCCTTGAAGAGGGAGAGCATCGGAGCAACCTAGGCTCTGTATTGGCCTTATTTTCAGGCACGAAGTGAACATGGCACCCAATGTCTGAGGTGGTACCCGTACCAGACGGAAGTAGAATGGTGGACCTTGTGATACCTTGTGTGAAATGGTTTGCTACGCAAAATGTCATGTTTATTTTAACATAGTTTAACTTAAGCTTTGGTTGAAATGTGTTCAAGGTCTTGACTTTGAACTTTGGGAGGCCTCCTCCAGGCAGCCTCCTTCATTTGCGCGCGGAAGTCCGCTGACGTATCTGTAGGCATCCTTACTTTCTGTAATTTGCTGCTGGGTACTGCCGTGTCACTTTTGCCACCTATGCTGCCCATGGTGCATGCGAGCTGGCAACCCGTTATGGCAGAACCTGGGACGGCGATGCTCATTGTGTTGCTCCTGGTGCTTCTCACCACCTTATCCATCGTACTGCCTGCAGCTGGTAGTACCAGATGCCCTGCTGCAGTGAGTGCCACCGTTTTCACCTCCTCATGCATCTCAGGCCAATATATAGCAACTTGAGAGTGTATTTTTGCCCACGCCTTCTCTCTACGTACAAGGATTTTGCTTGGGCAAATGGGCAAAATGTGTCGTTTTTTTGTGGCCAGTGAGACACTGTCCAGGTATGGTATCTGGCTACCTTTCTCAGGTGTTCTTCTTCCAAGAAATCCCCAGCACCTTGACGATCCTTGGCGCAGCTTGCATGCCACTCGGATCGGCTTGATCTGCATTTGTGTGTGTTTTGTGTTTTTGGTTTCTCTCCAGATGTGAAATAACGCCACTTTCAGTGATTTCCGGAACTGACACGAGATTTCAGGTTGTTGAGTGTGGTGCTCATGGCTTTGCCCTCCCCAGAGCGTGAAGCTGCGCCCGAGAGCAAAGACACCATCCAGGAGGCGGGCGTTGCATTCTTCATCATGAACCCTCCATATGAGCAAATTGCAGGGAGTTAGAAACCTTTTCGCATCATTTCACCTCCCTGACACTTGAATGCCCAAATGCTAACAAGATTCCCTTGAAACTCCTGACAAGACTTGCCGAAAAGAGGCTCAGCATTAAATTGCACATCGTGGTTTTGATATGGCTATAACAGGCTACAAATTTGACAAAAGTATGCAGGGGCCTGATTAGAAGCCTTAACAAGTCGGGGGGTGGCGCTCAGCAGATCGGCTTCGAGAAGAAGATCTTCGAGATGAGTCACAACGGAAAGCTCCAACAAGATCCAGCAAGTAATTTGGTACAAGATGTACGATCCCTTGCCAGGAAATGTCACCCAGCCTTGGTTTTTGTAATTCTTTTGGAGTCTAGAACTGCCTGATACTACAGGATTGAGAAAGAATTCAACTCCCGAGGCAGTCCTGGTGTTAGATCACGAAAGCATACGAAAGCCAGAGTTAGCCTGCTGAGTTGGTTCTTGTTGTGAGGCCAATACAGTAATAGTTCAGTACATCAATAAGGAAGTATTAAGCTGGCCATTATGGTTATGCATCCTTGATTCTTTGAACTTAGATTGCACCGGACCGCGACACGCTTTTGCTGCAACCGATTGCCCTAGCTGCCCTAGCTTTCGATCTCAACTTTTTGTCTGTTGCTGCACTGTTGGCAAACATTGCAGGAGGCCGATGAAACACCCAGCTTGGGATCCTTCGTTGCCTCCGAAGTCTCTTTCCGCACATCCCCAGCGCGCCGCCGTGTGCGGACGATTCTGGCAGAGCAGATTGGACTGCCAGTGACCAGTGGCTAAGGCAGCGCACTGAAACAAGTGTGCTCCTACACCGTTCATTCAGCTTTCTAAGGTGGAATCTCACGATCTTAGGTTTACTGTACAGGTGCCCTTTGAACAAGTTTTGAGCGCTGGAAGCAGCACATGGCCAGCAAGGCGTGGGCAACCGAATTAGTTCTTTTGCTGCCACCTTGGCCAGACTTAGTGGAGGCAAAGGGTAAAAAGTAAGTCAAGCGAACGAGCAGACCTGGCGGAAATCAGAAGCTATTAGATTCGATGTCCTTCCAGTACTGAGTACTCATCGGCAGTCCCACTTTGTTTGCTTAGCCCTTTGTTGGAAGACCACCACCATTCATGTCCCTAAACAAAGAGCCGAGCCCTTACAGGCCCAGCTCATTCTGCCCAACAAAACACCAGCCACACAGCTCTCAAGGCAAAGCGCTTGGGGCAGCCAAGCGAAATTGCGGAAGCTGTTCGGACTCACAGGAACAAAGAAAGTGTGCACTTAGGACTCAACTGGTCATCCCAAGAAGCAAGATGGATTACTATGGGTTAGTGCAACATAGTGCAACGGTCAAAGCCGGTAGAAGAATCCAGTGGCAAAATAATCCCAGGCTGGTGCTGTTGTCTTTAAGAAGTGCTTCATTGTGCATCTACAAAAGCCATCAAAAGCCTAAATTTGATCACATGTGTAGTTCCTTTCATGGTTTCATTTGGGCCGAATCCATCAAGGTCTTGTTTTTGGCATCACCAGCAGCTGGCTATGCATCGCTCCCAGACATGAGTCCGCAAACAGTGAACCGACAAAATTGCAAGCAGATTGGCAAGCTATCGTTCGATGGCGATTGACTTAGTTGGTTAAAGATTGAAAGGGGACAGCACTTTGTTTGATCCATCCTTGCACAGTTACGCTTTACTATTGCGACCGACTCACTGATCTTGAGGAGATGGCAAGATCACCCCACAAAGGTAGAGGTAGAGTTTAGGGTTACGGTAAGTTCACCAAAAGTACCACCAGCTGTGTTTTGATGCATTTTAAAGGTCCACTCTGCAAAATGTGTGAGATCTCATTCACGAAGAGGGTATGGAAGATCTGATTCTGCTGCACAAAATCACTACGACCTGCTAGTAACAAGCGCATAGAAACAAAGAGCTTGTGTGCTTTGATTTTTTAGATGAACTTTGGATTAGATCCTTCTTGGCTATTTTTGATAAAACCGAGAAGTCGGAGAGCTGGTAAGACGCGCTGAGATCACCGGCCACACACTCCACGTCAACGGAGGGATGTACATGTCCTGAGCTCCACAGCTGCATTGCCAGAGCTCCGGTGGACGCGTCTTTTCAGTTTGGTCAACAGATTAGGACAGATTAGGATGTAGAACTGCAACAACTTTGTCAGGTTTCCTTCACAGAGGCGTTCCAAGAGAGCTAGTTACATTGTGGCTTCGGTTCACATGTAAGTAAAGAGATGGTTAAGCTCCGTTGGTGATCGGATGTGATCGGCCAGTGGAGGAGTCGGAGCAAAGTTTGGAGGTCCATGAATCGGGTTGACTTGCATCTTGACATATCTTGACACCTGGATTCAAGTTCTTGACAGATTCGATGGGGAAGGTCAAGTTGATGAGATTGAAAAACTGCTCATACTTGTAATATCTTGTAGTGCCATCTCATCAGATTGCCTCATCAGCACCTTGGACCAACCTACAAACAGTTTGCCTTTCACTTTCAGGTGGTGACCTGACTGCTGACGCTAGCACAAAGCGCACAAGATTGGCAGCGCAGCAGACCGTTTGGAAGTAGACCGGCTTGAGACTCCTTTGACAGATAGCTCTACCCATTAGCGTCACGCGTCCCCCACGGCTACAATGTTTGAGCATCGACAAAGGTTCTGTGCAAATGCTGCTTCAGATTGTCACACTACCTTTTGAGACTTCAGTGATAGTGTTTTTTTAGTCATGTCTACTGAGCTGCCCATCGAGTTGTTGTGCTACGCACTGGTTTTCCTCGGCGAATTCTCCGGAGATGTGATATCGTTCCTGGCATACCTTCCACGTTGCTTCAGGGCAGTACATATCATAGAATTACTTATGGGAGTGGGAAAGGGCAGCTCTTTGTGAGCTTGTGCTGCACGCAGGGCAATGCGGGGAGGTTGTTGCATGTGGAATCAGTATGCTTCAGGTGCTGTTACACTCCATTCCCATGCTCCAAAGAGTGAGCAAATGCTTTAAATGCTCAGCTGCGAATCTCAAGACTCTTCATCTTCTTGTGCGGATTTTTGTAGAGTTGTCAATTGGAGTGTTCAATTGGAAAGCTCGCCCCGTAGAAAGCCTTAGCTGGTTGTGGAACCTGGTGTCCAGGGGTTTTACTCAATCCCTCAATGTGACACTCTTGCATGGCCCTGAGAATCCAAATTGGGAAAAAGAAGATGAAGAACATTTGGGCAGCAAAAGGCTGCAAGTATTGTGCACCATTTGTGTAGCACATGAGGCCGGTGCCATGCAGCTGCCTTTGTGGATTCAAAATAGAAGCCCTCCAAGCAACCGTCGAAGTCAAATGAGATGCTATATAGAATTTGGAACTGATGGGCTGTATTTGTTGATTTGAAATGATTGGAATATATCTCAATATGCGCAGCGTGCAAGAAAATATTATATAGTACATATCAGTATTGTCCATGTCATATTCTGCATTTCTTACTGCTTGCCTCACACCGAGAAGCGCAGGACCTGCGTGGTGAATATCAGAAGCTTTGCTTGCCAGGCTCACCAAAGGCGGGTTTGTTTGTTGTTTTTGGAATCGGCATAGGCGGTTCTCAATGTTCGGTGGGTAGAAATAGAAACATGGTTCTTCCGCATGTTTTCACAAGAAAGCAGAGAAGCCTTTCGTGACAACACGGGGCACAAAGTGGCAGCATGGTGCCACGTCAAGGCATTTTCTAGACCTGACTTATACAAAGAGTTTGTGCGGGGCCATGCATCAGTGTATTGTGCACACATGCTGGACCTTGCTGGAGTACCAAAAGGCATCAAAGCTTACACTATTTGCCAGGTCCTGGAGTTGCTGCCTCGATTGAAGCAGGGAAACTCGTTTTTTTTCTAGCCCGCTGGGGGGGTAGGCCGCGAGAGGTAGCTAGAAGAGGTAGCTACTAGCTACTTAAGCTACGCTCACCAAGGCCACAAAAGTCTTATATAGATGTTTCAGGTTGAAAGGGTGCTGCTCCAGACCTTTTGCAGTGCCTAGTTTTGTTGCTTTGAGGTGGCTCGTAGTCTGGTCGCTTCAGAAGTAAGACATCATGGTGCAAACAAATGCTTAAAAGGTTTTTTTGAAGACTGACATGTTTTCACTTCAGAAGATAACTATTTTGCGCAGGTGACAGCAATCTATTTGTGTGAATTGATCAGGCAGCATGCTCTATGGGCAGCTCTCCCACTTTCTGAGCTTCAACGGGAGTGCCTTGACTTTTTTTGATGCAGCTTGAACGAGTGACCAGCCGATTGAATGTTTTGAGAGAAGCATGAGCAATGGAATCCCACAGACCAGTTGTACAGGTCAAAAGGAGATAGGCCATGATAGGCCAATATAGGTGTTTGATGGGTTCTTTTGATCATCCTCGAATAGTGTCCACAATCATGTTCAATGAACCTGCTTAGGCTCCCATCAATTGGAGAGGGATTCCAAAATTCAATCAACCCAACCACGCACCTCTGAACACACACCCTGAAGCCCACTCGAAACCCCTCTTCAGCACTACCCAACAAAAGCGCTGGTTGATGTAGCTTACATTTGGCTCAAGAAATACGCTTTCAATTTGTACGCAAAGTTTCCCAAAGGATGCTGCGCATGCTGATGGCTGGGGCCACAGAGCGGGCACGTTTGGAGTCTTTCCCAGCATCCAGCAGGACCTTAAGCTTTGCCAGAGAAAGCTGCTGTCTCTTGAACTGCAAACCTTCAACTATTCCGTACACAAGGCTTAGCATCCCTACAAAACCATGCGACACATGTCACAATGTGAAAAGCACCGCAATTGTTGTGCAGCAAGCGCCGCTGTCGCGCCCAAAGGTCGCCCTCGCGACACTGCGGATGTCGCTTGGCTCTGAGCTGCCCCTGTTTGCAGACGATGAGTCTGGCGCGTTGAACCTCCTGCAGCGCAAAGCTGGGGCGGAGGACGCAAGACATAGCAATCGCAGTGAGATTCATATATATATATATGTGTATGTGTATGTGTGTGTAGTTTGCTGAGCCCAGAAGAGCAAAATGAAGTAAAATGAATGTCCTTTTGCACAGTCTTTGCAAAAAAATAGATCTGTGAACTAAATGAATAGTGCAAGCACTATCCAACGTCCTAGCACTATCCAACAAAAAAGAAATTCGCAAGAAGTGGCATGAAGCACAAATCTACAACAGATGCCTTTTTTTGGCTAAGCCACATTTCGCGAAAGACTGAAGGTACTCCAAAAACACCGTGTGCCATGGGGGCCATGGGGATGGGGGATGGGGACAAGAATGAATAGATATTGTGTATGTTTTAAGAACAACTCCATGCTGTTTAAACTCGAGGTAGGCACTTAAAAAGCTGGTACCAACATGTGGGTCAGAATCGGTGTGCCATGATGGTGGGGCCCATAGAATCCATAGAAAACCTTAGAAACCATCAACATGTTGAATCGCAATGGAATGGTGTAGGTTTGTAAACAACCTAGGAGAAAAAGTACTTGTTTTGAAGCGGAGTGCCATTGTGTTTCCAAATGGGGTAAGTTTGTACATTCGTGGGGTAAGCGGTGTGCCATGGGGGTGGGTCAAGTTGCTGTGCGATGGGATAAGATTGGATAAGTTACCACATCTTGTCGTAGCTACCTCCTACTACTTGTTAGCTACCACCTCATACACCTGCCTAGCCCTGGTCTAAATATTTTTTTTCCACGGTTCTTTTCCGTGCTACAAGGTGCTCACGAGAACATCCTTCTCAGATCCTGTGATCTGGAGGGGCAGGCTTCCTTCAGCCGGCGGTTCAAGAGGACTTT